TTCCGTGACCCCGGAAAGGTCTCACGCCTGTTCCTGCAGCCCCCACAGACACTGTTCTGCTTTCTGTCCATAGACGAGGTGAATCTTTTCCAAAGTTTTGTGTCAGTGAAATCACGCAGTGTTACACTGACTTGGCTTCTTTATTCAGCGTCATCTTTTCATTCATACCATTGTGTTTATCAGTGTTCTTTCTGCTGATGGGCAAGCAGTGTTTCATTGTCTGCAGAGATGACTTTTTGCTTATCTGTTCCCATGTGGATGGACATTTGGGCTGTTTCCAGTTTTTGGCAATTTTGAATAAACTACGGATTGAAGTTTATCTTTTCCCATATGGATATTCAATTTTTTCAGCACCATTTGTTGAAAAGACTACATTTTCTCCAATGGATTGCCTTATATTTTTGTGAAAGGTCAGCTTTCCACGTATGTGTGAGTAATTTTTGGACTAGCTGTTTTGTTCTGTTACTCTGTTTGTCTGATCGGGTGCCAACAAGCTATCGGAATTAGCACAGCTTTGTAATCTATCTTGAAGTCAGGCAGCGTAAGTCCTTCGACTCTGTTTTTCTTTATCAAAGTTGCTTTGGAGGTTCTGGGTCCTTCACATTTTCAGGGGTCTTAGGATCAGCTTGTCAATTTCTACACCCACATATAAGAGCCCCGCTGGCCCCCCGATTAGGGACTGCATCCACCCTACAGAACCGTCTAGGGAGAGCTGACATTTTTGCCAATACAGAGTCTAACAACCTATGAATATGGCGTATTTATCCATTTAGTTAGGTGTTTTTAAATTTCCCTGAGCTGTGTGTTACAGCTGCAGGATACGGGTCTTGCACGTTCTTTTATCAGATTTGCCTTGTGGATGAAGAATGTCCCTGCCATACCAGTAAATAAAGGATGCTGCAGCCATCAGGCCATCAGCCACTGCAGCCACCCCCGACTGTGCACCCAGATGGGAGGGGATTCAGGATGGAGAAAAACAAGATACTGGCCCTAGAGAGCTAAGGTGCAGATCAAAGGAATGGTCTCAAAGAGCCCTGACTCTTGCATCTTCCCACACATAGACAAGTGCTAAATTCATTAACTTGAGAATGTCTGGTTTTTCTTTGATTAACTGTAATCTTCTAATGTTCCAACTACTTATTTTTTTCAACATTTTTATTGATTTATAATCATTTTATAATGTTGTGTCAAATTCCAGTTTAGACAACAATTTTTCAGTTATACATGAACATATATATATTCATTGTCACATTTTTTTCTCTGTGATCTACCATAAGATCTTGTGTACATTTCCCTGTGCTATACAGTATAATCTTGTTTATCTATTCTACAATTTTGAAATCCCGTCTATCCCTTCCCACCCTCTGCCCCCTTGGCAACCACAAGTTTGTATTCTATGTCTATGAGTCTGTTTCTGTTTAGTATTTATGCTTTGTTTGTTTGTTTTTGTTTTTGTTTTTTAGATTCCACATATGAGCGATCTCA